TGCAACGAACTATTGAATATATTGGGGCTCAGAGGTAATGGATGTAGCACAAGTTAAGTTAATATCATCAAGTCTTTATTGTTATGATTGACAATTGTTCTTGTGCATGTCTGACTATATACTGTTTGACCACTAATGACGTTTTGATTTTAAGTCGCTTGAAATAGTTACTTAAAATAACTACATATGTTGTTTGTAGAACATTAATATATTGAATGGTTGGCTATCTCTCTGCTACACACAGTTGAGCGCCATAAACTGGGTGATCCAGCAAACTGCTAAGTTGCAGATTTTATCAAAAAATTAAAACAACATGCACATCTTTATATAAGATTTATTTCAACATTCTTTTTGTCGTTGCTTCCTTTAATATCTGCCTTTACTTTTCTTTGCTACAATATAAATATGCATTTGAAAATATAAATGTTAAACACAATTTTGTTCATAGTAAAAAGTTTTCTTTTCTTTTCAATTCAACAGTATCTACATATGTACTTGATATATCACTGCGGGGTAACTACGATTAAAAAGACGTCAATACACAGGTTAATTTCGTTAAATTCTTATATATGTTAATGGCAATAAGTGAAATTAGGCATTAAGCTTAAATTCTAGGCAATAAGCTAACGTCTAGGCATTAAGTTATTGCCTGAAATTTCTATGCATAAAGCTTATTTCCTGAAATCTGATGATGATTATTCAACCTATTGCCAACCATCATTTCAGGCAATAAGTTAATTTTGGGATTTTTGTTTATCTTCCAAAAACATGTTAATTCGTGAAAAAATTATACTCCAAAACTTAATATAAACTGATTAAAAAGATCTTCATCTTTTATTATGTTTTCGTATTCAAAACAGAACTTATTCGTATTTCTTTGTAGTATTGCTCTTCAATGGTCGAGCCGGTTTGAGCTGGTCAAAAATAGACAACTGAAGATATGAAATTTTGCCAGTCACATCATCCAATTATCTGTTTTATTGGATATGTAAATTTTCTTAAATACTCATTTTGTCTTTTCATTTCTTTATCTGGATTATTAGTATTTGAGAAACAAAACAAATTCTTGCATCTTTGTGGAATATGAATTTGAATCAGGGAAAACAAAGATAATATACCCAAGGCAAAAGTACAATGGTCAATTGGCATAGATTAAACTTTCAAAATCAGAAAATAAGGCAACTATAGACTATTACAATTTAAAATGATATGACAATTTTTTACCATTGAAGGTTTGAAAGACTGAGAATGATGAGGGAAATTTCAAAGTTTATGTTTTTCTAGAGGAACTGTATGGTATTTTGGGAAAAACACATAAAGAAATATGTCAACGCGGCCTATTATTACAGACCGTAGAATTAAACAACCTAATAATGGCTTTGCAAACATTTTCTATGATTCCACTGTAATATTTCTTTCATTTGGTAAAAATTGTAACATGATAAAATGTTCATAGGGAAGCAGAAGGAAATATGAGCATGAACAAAACAGAATCAAAACAAAAGCATGGAACACAACAGAATCAAAACATGAGCATGTAACAAATCAGAATCAAAACATGACACTTTGCATCGATGTACAGATAGTGAGAACTCGTCTATTGGACAAATCAAAATTCCATTGACAAAGTTAAATTCGATCTGCCGATTGCTTATATCGGCTTTACCCTTTCGGGGTTAAGCTTAATGTATCATTCAAAACAAATCCTAAATTTGTTTTTCCGATTATCGGTGAAACTATTACTGAAACCAATAGGTAGAATGTCTTTATATAGGATAAGTTGTAAAACAGGTTATACATTTGTATTGAGTATACTGTCGATCAAACGGAAAATTCAAATATTTCTAAAAACCTGAACATTTTAAACACTATGAACACACATCGATTGTTAAAAGGACATCCTATAATTTTAAAAAAGTGTTTATTCAGTGTTCTTAAATACCATAGAAAACTATCGTGTTTTATTTTCTTTGTTTGTTTCATCTATCACATTGTTGTGCAAAATTATATATCAATAAAACTGATTTGTTTTCTCAAAATTTGACTATATCCATTAGACCTAATAGCTGTAAAGCTCCTCGTGAATTTCTGAATGCATCGCACAACGTACGAATACCAAGCTAAACGTTGTATATTCAGGCTTAAATTTAGACGTTTAAAAACATCTGTATCTTAACTGTACTGAAATTTTTAACAATATTTACTTGGATACTAGTATATCTATTCCCGATTATTGTGACATTTTTACTGAGTGTGAAATACTCCTTTTGGAATCCCTCAGTTTTTGTTTGTTACCCTGGTTGTCTCCTCATAATCTAGTTACAAGATTTGAACATCGGTAAACTACTGATGCCTTATACTATGTGTTCAATTTTAGCATCAATTGAAACCATTGAAATATGTCATATGAGAATAAAGTGATCAATTGGATCACGTAATATATCTGTAGCTGTTAAAACTTTGAAAAATAGCTCATGAACATTTAATTTGATTCAAGTTGACACTACATAAAATTCAAAGAACTAACGTGAAGGCACCCAAATTGAACCTACATTTATTCAAGAAACAGACAAAGTTTCCATTTTGTGTTTTTTTTTATTTTTGTGTAGATGTATCCTTATTAAATACATAGTAAGTTCTACAAATTTTATTTTGAATCCATACTCATTCATAGAAAAGTTGGTTTGAAGCGACCTCCAAACGATCCAAAATTCTGTTAGGAGAAGTATCTAAATTGCACCCATGTTTAACAACACATCTGTTAAAATCGAATAACCGATGTTTTACTTTATTTTTTCACATTTTTTAATAATCAAACAATTGTCCATGCTTGTTATGCATCTTGTATGAAATGGTTATCTGTGACATATTTTAAATTCTCATTTTGAAAATTAGACTTTTTGTAGACGTTGCACGCAACGTTTCCGTAAATTTTACTTTTTTTCATTGAAGATTTTATCTGTTGATATATAATGTAACCGTTTTGTGTAGATTTAAGTATATATAGCTATGTCGAAAAATATGCCTAATGGCAAATTATAAAAGTACCGATTGTTTTGTTTCGAAGAAAACCTATGATTTCATTTGTTTGGTTTTTTTGGCATACAGAAATAAACAACATTATGTATATAAAATGGTTGCAACACAAAATATAGGTCATATGTATACTTATAAGATGAAAATATAAAAATGACAAGCGCACAAACTTTGTGTTACAGTCTTTTGAATTGAACTTTTTGAATTCATTTATTTTTTTGACAGCTGTTATAACATATACAAATGATTAAATGTTAGAAAAAATTAAAATACATATGAATTTTACAATGCCCTATTTTCGTAGACGATTCTGAGTAAGCACAAGAACAACAAAATATTCTCTATGCAAGATGAACGATACTTACAGCAAAAGTTTGCACTGCATGTCACAACATCCGATCTTACACATTTGCACCAGTTACAGCCATCTCTAGATCTAAAGGACTTTCCTGGTTTATAGAGACCTCCCTCAAAAGTACATGGTCCTTCTGAACAATAAAAGAAATACATGTTCGGTGTCAGGGTTTCATGTCGAATGGTCTTATCTTAAATCATATTGAATAATGTGAAACGACTGAGCACATTTTTGGTCCTATTTCAGCCATTAATATCATTTATTGAACAGTGTTAAATCCTTTGTCGTCGTTGACAAATAACACTGTCATCTCCTAAAAATACATTTTAAACGACATTAGTCAAAAATATCATCAATGATATTTTTTTATGGCATAATGACACATCTTACTGGTCATAATGAGTTCCAAGTATAGGATCGTTACAAATCATGCACTTATGGACCTCTCACAGAGTTGTTAAAATTATTTTTGCATACATTTGACATTACTCTGGTAATATTGCCACAACGTGGAGTATCGGATTTGACGTCCCCAATTTGACTACGGATTTGTTCATCCCGCACAGCCAAACTGACGACCCTCACCATGAAATACTGTGTTTACCATGAATAATGAAAAACAGAAAAAATCAGATAAATCTGGGGTTAAAGTATGTCTTCAAAAAATAAGAACAATCGAACAAACAAGTTAACACACTCGAAAGTTGATTGAGGGATATAAAAATAAGGCAATTTGGATTCTTATTTTTTAATGAGGACCAAAGGAAGATATAATCACGTCAAACTGTGACATATCGGGAAGGATTCATTTTCGACTGATTTTTATCATTCAGAATGATTTAACTTGAAAACGAGATCATGGACCCCTCTTTTTAAAGATGACATTAGGCTTGATTATGTAAGAAGATTATTTGTGCAAATTTTTATGAACAAATCACCGATGATTTTTTTTTAAATTAGATAAATATACAGCCATAAATGCCGTTTCTTGACTAAAATCATGAAAATATGATAAAAATTAATTATTTCCAAAGAATTGTTTAACAAAATCAAAACACACTTATGTAGAGAAGATATTCGAGATGTTTTTTTTTACAAAACTCCGCTTGAGTTTATCTTTTGAAACAAAAAAATTGAGTATGTCTTTCCATTGGATAGAAATTTCGAAGAAACCGAAATGTCCAGTAAATGTCTAAAATTTCGACCCCCCAATTGATCTCTAAAAGTAGCACATGAATTTATATGTTTTATTACATATTTGAATTGACTAGTTAAAATATAGCTTGTATGCAAACTTTTGTCAAAAATTCACTGTGGGATCAAAACTTTATCGTATGCCCTTAAAACTGACTAGGACCTATGTTAGAAAATATTTTAACATCATATTCAAGGTCACCAAATATCCGATAAACAGAACTTCATGAAAAATGTTTTCCCATTAGTAGGATAGAATCGATGTAAGGGTCCTGTATTTTAAGAATAGTCATCAATATAATCTATTTCGGTATTTACTAAGTTAGATAATTGTAATAAATTTTAACCCAAACAAACACGCCATAGGACACACACGCACGGTTTCCATATTTCCCGACAGATACATGATACTCACTACAATTCATGGCACTGCACTCAACTTCTCCAGAGGGTAAGCACTCGCATTTGTTACATCCATCAATTGCTGTGAAAGCTCTGCCCACTTTATATGGCTGTCCATCATAAAAACAAACAGGTGGGGCTAGAAAATGCACATTACATATGATTACATACAAGTAGAGCTATGAAATGCAAATAACGTATGATTACAAACCGGTAGAGCTAGAAAATGCACAAACAGGTAGAGCTATAGGAAATGTTGATAACGTATGATTACAAACCAGTAGAGCTAGGAAATGTTGATAACGTATGATTACAAACCAGTAGAGCTAGGAAATGTTGATAACGTAGAATTACAAACAGGTAGAGCTAGGAAATGTTGATAACGTAGGACTACAAACAGTTGGAGCTAGGAAAAGCAGATAACGTAGGATTACAAACAGGTCACAGTGGAGCTAAGACATGTATATTACAAATTATTACAAACAGGTAGAGCTAAAAAAATGCAGATAACGAAGGATCACACATATGCATACCCGTCTATCAGTTATACGATATCACATAGCTTGCGTATAATATCATGGTTTCTTGAAAGAGGGTTGCTGTTTACAAGGAAGCAAGCAATTCAATGCTCGTAATAGTTTAAATATTCTTTCCTAATTTTTCATTCTATAATTTAATTGAACGTTATCTGTGTTATATTGAATGACCACGGATATGTTCCACTCTTCGTAGTCATTATACCATCCTCGTTTCCTTGTTTTTCACGTGATCAAATGTAACAATTCAACGGAATGTTACTTGACATGAGCAACACTACAGGCGACAGGTTCCACTGCCATAGGTGGAGCAGTAATTGTTTACCCTTTCGGAGCATCTGAGATCACTCAGATTTTTTGTGGGTCATGTTGTGAGATCTTTAACATTAACGGAACCAATTTTACTGCACCAGATGTGCATTTCGACAATACATTTCTCTTCAGTGATGCTCTAGACCAAAATATATGAAAATCCAAAACTTGTTAAAAAATGAAGAGCCTATGAGCCAAAAAGGACAAAAAGTAAAGCCAAAGCCGAGCAAGGAACCATAGCTTTGCATGAGAGAGATAAATTCTTTAATTTGAAATAATTTCCCAAATTTTGTAACAGCAAATTTTGATAACCAATAAAAGATGTGCTTGTCAAAATTTTGTGGACTGTTGTTTGTTGGACTTTTTTCTTTTGGTCGTGGTTGTGTCCGTCTTCGACTTATGAGCCTTACTATCTTACCACCTGCTTTCAACTTAAATATAGTTTTCACGACGTAAAAATAAACGTAAATGTGATTTTATGTCACAACTGAGAGTTGTCATAAAGATTCGTGTTTTTTGCAAATTTTATTTGATTTTTCGTGTATTTTGGACTCGCCAATATGGAGAATCAAAGTACTGAAGAACTGAACATCGGATGACCGCAAGTTCTGGTGGATGGTCTCAGAAAAAAAATCATATCTCTATACCTGAAAGTAAGGTTAAGGTACATAGATATATTTTTTTTCTAAACAAGTTCCTGTGTGGATGATGAATAAATGACAGGGAATTCAACCTCACAGTAATAATTATTATATTGTAGTGGTATAATATCATTTGTTATCAGTATAATCTAGTTTGTTGTTATATATTATATTAATATTTGTATAACAGTTATATATTTAGCAGATCATCTCTCGAGATATTCTTCCGCATGCGTTAACACAAATTTTCGGTATTCATGATTTGTTACTGATATATATATATATTTCTCACGACAAAACATTTTCATATCATTTATCTATGTTATTTAAAAATATTTTTATGAGTATTCATTGAAGAAATGAATTTATAACAAGCGATAAGGAATGTTATTTTGCACTCGATAATATCCGCGTATTTATACAAAATACGTTCTACTTTCAGCTATCAGTCAAAAGCACAAGGAAATTTCTGCGGCAACATAACACTGGTATGACCTCTCAAAGTCACATCCGATGTAAAAAGGGAGATCCAATTCATCACAGTTTGTCTCGTATATGCGCTACATATATTTCCTACTCAAAATATGATTAAAAACTATTTTTGCCAATTTTAATGAAAAACTTTAGTATTTGCCATCTTTTGACCTTTACAAAACCTTCTCACAGACCTATAAGTTATTAGCACAAAAATCAAATGATTTTAAAATACTTCAACGTTTGCTTAAAAAGGACTGTCCTTGGTGCACCTCCTCTATAAGAAAATTCTTAAAACTTAAAATAATGTTATCAATGGGAAAAAAAGAAAAATTCGCAAGCAAGAACAACTACTTACATCTATATTTTGCGTTGACTGCACAAAGGCAAACAGCTGACAGAACTATGATAAATCTTTCTGCAACCATCATTTTTCCTTAAAAAATACCATTAATAATATAACTAAGGTTTTTGAAATGAATTTGAAATCGTTAATAGTGCATCAATGCAAAGTGGCTGAAATGTTAGCATACGTGAACTACAGCTTGTAAAAATGATAAAAACTACTTACTTGATAAGACACAAACTTATTGAATGTCCACAACAATGTTTGAAGGTTGCAGCATGGACACATATTTATATGGTGCATTATTAATAAAATAATAATATATCATTATAAACAGAAATTGAAGGACCAAAATAAATCATCTGTCTTCCTTAAAATTAGCAACGGAATCGACTTAAATGAACATTTTTATGTCAAAGTTGTCAAAAAATAACAGATTAAAGAGTTTAAATTGCTGATTAAGTTATACTTCTACCTTTAATTGAAATGATATATATGAATAATATGTGACAGTTTAAACTAATGAATGCCACTTTTGTGAGTCAAAAATTTCTTCATGATCAGGATTGATATAGTTCTTAGTTTTGACAAGAAGTTGCAACCTGTATAAATTGCGACTAATTTATGCAATGTTGACTTCAAAGGTTGCATGGGAGTTGGCCTGTCAAGAATATTGGGGAAAGTTTCAAAAAATAATTACACGGTTATACGTGCATATACAATTACATGATTCAAAGTAGGCAATAACAAGGCATGTCTCTTCCATCAGAAAAAAAAATAAACGTGCTTATGGAATCAAAAATGTATCTCTGACGTATGAATAAAAATAATATTCCTTAAAAGAATGTGGTAAAAATGATATTTTTTTTTACATGATGACATTTTCAAATATACTTTTTGGGTACCAGTCATCGTCAGAAATTGTCAGTTTTTCTTTGATATGACTTAACATATAATTCGTTTGGAAAAACTCATTGTGCACATAATAAATAAGAAAGAAAGAAATATAGATTTTAGAAAGTAGAATATTAGAGCCTGAGGACAAAACCTTTTCATATTTTTTGTAAGCTCATTAAAAGGAACACTAAATCCATAGGATGTGGGCTGATTGATATTTTAGTCTTAGACACAGAATGTGTATTAGTTGCTCATGGCTTTGAACAAGCTTTCAGTAATTGCGAGTATTTTCAGATCTGAACTTTGTGTCTTTGTGTTTTTGTTAATTTGTGTTTATCGTATCAATCTGATGAGTTAAGCCCTTTTCAACTGATTTTTATGGTTGTTCTTATGTTGTACTATTACACCACTGTCCCGGGTTAGGGGGAGGGTTTGGCGCCATCAAACATTTTTAACCCACCCACATTCTGTATGTGCTTGTTCCTAGTCAGGAGCCTGTAATTCGGTGGTTGTCGTTTGTTGCTGTACATCATATCTAATTTTCGTTTATTGTTTTGTACTTAAATTAGGCCGTTAGTTTTCTCGATTGAATAGTTTTACATTTGTCATTTCGGGGCCTTTAATAGCTTGCTATGCGGAATGGGTTTACTCATTGTTGAAGGCCGTACGGTGACCTATAGTTGTTAATTTCTACGTCATATGGTTCCGTGTGGAGAGTTGTCTCATTAGCAATCATACCACATCTTCTTATTTTTATAATGACTATGAGCAATTATTCCTGTCGTAAAAACTTAGTATCCCTTAACGAATGGTTGGATATCATAATAATGGTAATACGTACTAAGATTCAGTATGTGTTTATCTCACTGTTAAATTACAATGTTTTGATGTTTGAGGTGAAAAGAATATCAAAGGAACTGAGGTATAGACAGGTTGGTTGGACTGATGGTATATTAAATGAAATGTTAACATATCTTGTCATTACACTGCAAATGTGTTTTTGTATTTTGTATTTCAACGCCATTTTAAAGTCTATTTACATGCATTGCTATATCAAAATTCGTAGTATAAATTCTCAAGGTTTTTTCTTCAATATTCAGAAAAAAATATACCATGAAGTCAAATGTTCAATAAATTGGAAGATAGAGAAACACATTTGTTTCCGTCAAAGATTGGAGTAAAGCAAGAGTGTATTTTAAGACATACATTTTTTTCATAATATCTTAAGGTTATTGTGTCACTTTCGGTCATATAGCTCCTCAAATATCTATACGTCTCCGGCTTTCCAATTTTTGGTTTGGAAAGTGAACCCAGAAAAAGCCCTTCGAACGCAAAAAAAATATATAAATTTTTATTTCAATTTTCTAGCACGTCATAGATACCGCTGTTGATGTATTGTTAGTCCCCAAATGTATTACCAGATAGGTAGTTAGTGCTTCGACATGACATAATTTATAACATACTTTTTTCGTTGTTACATTACTATAAAAAAACCCATCTTTTTAAAGCCTTCACAAAACACTTTATTCGGACAAATTGAATATTTCATAAACAAATCCATTGTTTAATTGTTAATTATCTATATAAGTGCATTTGTTACTATGGGGTTAGAAAATAAATGAGACGACAAATCAAAATTAAGTAGTGACATTTTTTGTCTAGATACATTGTTGAAAGACTTATGTTACCAATGATTCTAATTATATTTCATTCCATCTAATAAGCATTCTAATTAAATTTGCTAAATATATCTTAGAAGTTAAACGACATTGCATCAAATTTGGCTATTCTTATAGACCTGGGTGTGCTTCCAGTTTGAGTAGATGCTATTATACATTGTGCTGGCTTTTTTTTTGGCATCATGCAGTCAACTCAAACTCAAACAGTTAAATGAATAAGATTAACCTATTGAGAGTAAATACTAAGTCAGACTCGTATATAGAGTAAAATGAAACTTTAATTTGATCAAGTTGGACAATCAAAGTTCATTTAACAAAAGTCATTTTAACTTTTGCCTTTTATTAAAATCTGAGACATGATTTCACGAAATTTTGGAAGGTAAAATGTCAATGAATCAGAATGAAAAAAGTTAAGGACATACAAGGGTTTGACGGAGAGATTTGAGATCGAAGGCAGTTTGAAATTAGATATTGGTGCAATTGATAGTTCAAGTTTTGTTAGATTCAGAATAAGTAATAGCAACTTAATGATTGTAAAAATATAGGCACATGATCATAAATTAGAAAACCGGTTGTGCCCTCGGTGTAACTCTGAAGTGGAAGAGGATTTATAAAATGTAACTAAACACAAGAGTTACGTAATAATTTCTTTCATAAACTTCTGATATTGCCTTTTTTTCTATCAGACCTTGAAAAGAGCGATCATATGTTTCGAAGTAATGATTATAATGTCAATAAATGCAGCATTACAGGTATAAGTGACGTGTACAAATCACATGGAACATTTGCATAATTTAGTTCGCTACATATTGTTTATAATATATTAGTGTACTGTAATAGTACGTTCGAGATCTCTGTGTAAATGCAAGAAAGACTAGTTGTTATTTTGTTTTTTGTTGTTTTATTTGTTTTGTTCGTTGTGTTATAGCTTTGTTTGTAGTTTTTGTTGTAGATATATAAAAAAAACATACATAATCCAAATGTTAAAT